ATTCGCATATTATGTCATCAGCCATTGCACTCAGAAGCGTGATTCTTACTATGCTATTTTTCTTCTTGAAAACTTGGTAAGCCTCTTGGTTTCTCCTATCTTGGGCTGTATTTCCAGCTTCAGGTTCGACCATTGCAGTGGTTAAAGGTTCAACAGCATTTTATTCCTCCAAGATGTATTAGACCTTTTGGTGCCATATGTCCCAATTATCCCCGTTAAACTTTTCCCCTTTATTAAGTTTAGCAATTATGTTCTTGGTTGCCATTTTCAGTTCTGTGACAAATTTATCCCATATTATTCTATATTCTCTCTAAAAGAGAGGCGTACCATAGAACATCTCAGTTATATAGCATAGCGAAGTATACAATGTCATGTACTTATATTGTTTTTTTATCAGAAAATAATAACACTGCAAGATCCATGAGTAAGAGCATACGTTTGTATCTCCCATTACACAGATACAAGCAATAATCATTATGCTCTATCAAGAATTTTATATAAATACCTCTATGACTCTTAGAAGCCTCATCTTCTAAAAGCTCCCATTTATAAAAAGCATACAAACATTATTCACAAATAATCATATAACAATAATTTAAGTAATTTCATTAAATGAAGTAACATATTTAGTCTGTTTACAATGCATGAAACCAAAAGCTTAATATAACAAACATTAATAAAGTGAATGCAAATATTACATCATTTGATATGAACATAAAGGTAATCAAACATTGCTTTCCTTAGTTTCCTAAGTTTGCACATTTTGGTCATAAAGGAGGATACTAAATCTATAGCCCAAATCCAGTAAAACTTCCTTATGGGTTTTCCTCTAGGTCCCCCTCTAACCTTATTGCTCTTAAGTATTCCATTATGACTTTAAGGTAGAATTCGGTATTCTTCTCATCAGTCATGTATTGGACGTAACTGGCGAGGATGCCATTGATAGCTTTTATGTTTGTCAGTTTGGCCACATCTCTTTCAGCTATACTCATACCTAAAACAAGGGTACAGGGTTGATTCACCTCTTCTCCTTCCTTAACTTCAGTTTGATCGGGAAGACCAAGTGAATCATTAAAGACCAAGTGAGGTTCGGCACGGAGGGGTTCAATGGGGAATAAAGTTTACAACTCAGGTCCATAGTCCATTAAATCCTTCGGGTCTTCTTGAGGAACCTCTCAGGGTCCTCCTCAGGATCCTCATCCTCAGGCTCATATTATGGAACTCCATCATCCATGCATGAGTATTCCAGTAAACCATGTTTGATATTTTCAGTGCTACCAGAAGCCTCTTGCTTCATTTTCACATAAAACAAAATAATATAAATTATTTTGAATATTCTGGAATTTTTTTCCGCATGAAAATACCAAAAAACGCATTGAAAATACTCACAAACATATCCTTAATTGTCTCAAAAATTAGCAAATTATATATCAAAATGAAGATCTTGATTTTAGGGATTTTTAGAGACAAATCGCACCTCAAACGGAGGTCCCACACACCTACATGCGCCCCTAGGAGAATAAATTTTGTGAAAATAAAAAATTTTAAGTCCTACTCGCGCGGTCGGCATGTGAAATCCATGCACCGCCGTACAGCCCGCTGACGGCGACACATGGCAGTTCACATGTCGAGGGGGCATGCCACGTGGCTGAACGCGCCACATGGCAGTTCTGCCTCTTCCTTTTTTTTTTTAAAGGATAGACCGATTTTTTTTGTTCTCCTGGGCTCAGACCAGATTCTGGCCCAGCCAAATCTATCCCCTTCTCATTACCTTTTTTTTTAAAACAGAATTTTTTAAAAATATATATATGAGTTGGACCAATGACTGGTTGGGCTCGGTCCAGCTTTGGCCCAACCGGTTCACTTGACCCTCTTTTTTCTAAATAAAAACTTTTTTTTTGCAGCGATCAAAACGACACCGTTTTGATCACTGTCCACCATCTTCAACCTCCAGCCGGATCAACCCAACCCGGTTAGAGCGATAGGTCGGGTCTGATAGACCTATCAAACCCAAAAAATTCTCTCCTCTGTATCTTAGCCGTCTAATGTTCGTTTTTCGCTCATTTTATATCGTTTTCTTTGTTTTTGTCATCCTCTACACAATGGGATAGGTTTTGAAGCCTAAAAAATTGATTTTAAGCAAATCCAAAAATGAAAAACCAACAGCCCAAAACGATGAATGTGTGAAACGATTTTGATAGAGGCAGAGAATCAACCCAGTATATCTAATCACGAATATAAGACACAAAAACTATTATACTAAAAGTAAAATGAAGGATTTGCATAATATTGTGAAGCAAATCTCATAGCTGAATGTGTACTGGAGCAGTAAGAAAAATAAAACGCAGGCTACATACACAAATAGAGCAACAGAAAAACATAGGCCACAGATAATGCTCTGATACCAATGATGATTTTCAAGCATACCTGAAGTGTTCCACACTTTCAGATAGCCACGCGAGGATCCGGTTACGGTAGTGAACTCGGATCAGTGTTACACAGCAAGTGCACTCTTTTGTGAAAGGGAGAGAAGTCAAAACAAGAGGGAGGAAACCAAAACACACTCATACAAAAATGATGCACTCAGCTGTTTTATTAACTTCAATTTGTTTTGAAAGTAAAATTGCATCCTCACGGTTAAGAGAAAACCGTCCCTCCTTTTTATTTTTAATTTTTTTGCAATTTATATAAAATGGTGAAATTCACCAATTAAGACCCAAATTTCCTATTTATTTGCATCAAAGTCCCAATACAAATGGGTTTGGGTCCAATCCACCAAGTATGGACTGACTCATTTTCCTACACAAAATGTTTCATTAATTAAAAGCAAAAAAAAAAATTTATACTGTAAAGATGGACCCATTATTCTCAATAGATAAACAAAATATTTCTTTAATTAAAAACCATAAAAGAATCTTCCAATGGGCGAGGAGGAAAAGCGTTATGCAACAGGCGAACATGTACCTAGAAACAAATCAACACAAGTAGAACTTGCCTAGCGATTATGGCTTATATGTAAATACTTTTGAAGCCAAAGTTGTTATATATAAAAATAGACTCAATAAACTTGTTATATATAAAAGCAAGCTCAATAAACTTGTCTGAGTAGTAAAATGTGATAAAATTCAATTTTTTTTTTTTGTGAAAATTGGAATGCATCGTGCATAAATGTGAATTTATTGATACAAATTTCAAATTTACATTAATAAACTCATAGTTAAGCTTTAATCTGTGATAAGAAAATAAACAAATTCAAATTTGATACTAAAAAATTTAAATTTGCTTCAGTATATTCAAATTTGATGCAAGAAAATTCAAATATCTTGTATCAAGTTCAAATTCCATTTGCTTGCCGTTTTACTTATTCATCAGATATAACTTTATTAATCTAAATCTAGAGTAGGCAAATGACCTATCATTGAAATGCTATTTAAATCTAGTTTAATTTCTAATGAAATAAAACCCATTCAAATTTTTTTTTTATATTTATAAAGTTGTGACCAAAATTATGAACACATGTGAGAAATGTTTTTCATATTGCAAACTTGTTTTTGAAAATATCTTTTATGAAGAAAGGAAATTAATCGGAAACTAAAAAGACTGAAATTATTTTTCATATTTGACACTGTGATTTCTAAAGCAAGTGGCTTTTCATATCTTGAGGAAATGATCCTTCTCATGTTTCATAGAATGTAAGAGTTATCATACCCTATCTAATACATTAAGAGAAAGTCATTATACTTTCTAGCAAATAAATCATTGAAACAAAGGCAGTAGTTTATTACAGTAAATTTAATTATAATTAAAATAATATATTTTAATTAAAATAATCAAAATATTCTTATATAATCCTAAAAAATATTACCACTTAAATAAAAATTAAGTCATAAGTAAATGAAATTTTTATGTATAAACCCTATATAGCGGTCGAAAACAAACTTATTAAAACACACAAATATGACTTATTGCTATTTTTTCATTCTTCAATTTAAAATGATATTATTTTAAGCTAAAAAAGAAAATATGTATACTGCTCCAGTATATGTACACTATAACATGGGTCCTACATTTAGTACTTGAGGAGTGCATGTATATATATACACTCTTCTGGTCCTTAATATAGGACCTAAGTGTTGAGTAGATTTTGATTCTAAATATAAGACCTAATTCTCATACTTATTAATTTTTTCTAAATTACCCTCATGAATACTTCATCAACCATAATCAAGTAGAAGGGGAGAGAGGATATTAAAGAAGATGATTATGGTATTTTAAGAAAAATATGTCATGTTTCTTATAATTAACTAACTTACCTAACTTTCTTAATCTAATCAAATTAGTTAAATAGGTCTTATATTAAGGATCGGAGGAGTATATGTATAATGTTCATAATTTAACATGATTGACTCATCCAAAACTTTTATCAAACTGTAAGAGGATTAGATCATCAATTCAACTAGTCTGATGATCAAGCGGTGAAATTGGATTTTAATACTAAGTGAAGCATGAGATCATGCACATAGATTTATATATTTTGGCAAAAACAAGTTTGCAATTACATCATATTCCTCTACTTACTTTTGTTGATTCAAGAAGATGGTTAAGCTCAACTAATGCAACAAGAACCTTAAGTAATTAGATTAAAAAATTACAATACCAGCTCCATTTTCCTCGTAGTAGTCCCTTGAATCCACAACTCTCTCTCTCTATATATACAACTCTCTCTCTCTACACACACACACACTCATGATCTCATGCATTACATGCTAAATATTCAAAGTCAATTAGTCATGGAACGCCTTGCATTTATTCCCCTCAAGAGCATAGTCGTCTTTCTGCTCTTTATATCTCTTGTTATCCCTCTGGCATTTTCTCGAACACTTGTCGAGGTAGAAACCCCAGCCTTAGCACCTGAGGAAGAAATTCCTGACTCCCCGGTGACGGCGGCGGCTCCGCCTGAGGAGCCTGTTGCTGCTGTTTCAGACGGTGACATCCATCACCCGCTATCTTTCTTCATGCATGACATCGTCGGCGGCACGAACCCGACGGCTCGAGCGGTGACCGGAGTTGTGACGAACCCAGCTTTGAACGCACAAGTTGCCTTCGCCAAGCCCAACGGAGCAAACATTCCTCTCGACGGCGGCCTCCCACAGAACAACCAGAACGCCGGCTTCCTCAATAACAACAACCTCCCCTTCCTCACCGGCCTAAGTGGCAACACAGGGAACGTAGTCAACACTAACAACCGCAACTTTTTCGTCAACAACAATAACAACGGCGGAGCTGGTTTTCCGGTGACAAATGTGAATAACATCCCCGCCGGAATGACGCTTCAGAAACTGATGTTTGGGACAATGACTGTGTTTGACGATGAGTTAACAGAAGGCCACGAGTTGGGTTCCGGCATGGTGGGTAAAGCACAAGGCTTTTATATCGCAAGTGCTGTGGATGGCACAAGTCAAGTGCTGGCTTTCACGGCCATGTTTGAAGAGAATGGCTATGGCGATGGCATAAGTTTTTTCGGAGTTCACAGAACTCAGGTGTCCGAATCGCATCTGGCGGTGATGGGAGGGACAGGGAAGTATCTGAATGCTAAAGGGTATGCCATCGTGAAGACATTTCCGGTGACCGGCGGCGATCTGCAACATGAAGGAGATGGAGTGCAGACTCTGCTTCAAGTTACAGTGTATCTGGAGTGATAGTCTTTCTTTTTTTTTTTTTTTTTTTTTAAAGAAATTATAGTATGCCTTTTAATAAAATGAAGTTTGTGGTGTGCATGGATATTTTAAGTTTTTACTGTAATATAAGAGTTGTCTTGTGGTAGTGATCTAGTAAGTTATATAATATTGTATTTATCAGATAATGTTGTGATTTGAATAAAGAGAGAGAAGCATAATCACGTCCGTCCTTGTGTGATTATTATACTTTACATAATCTCGTCTTTGTGTAACTAAACTTATAGTCAATAATCACTTTCATAACAGAAATATTATCTTATCCATAATGATGTTTCCCACGTGGATAAAAATAAATGAGAAAGTCAATAGTTTAGTGCACACTAAATTAAAAAATTACATAAAAATGTCAGCCAATCACATTCGGCAAATTTGAGCACAGTTCAAATGAACGAAAGGAGAAGGCAGGCTCAACACAACAAAAACAAGAGAATAGAACAAGCTAACAACAAAGACTACTTGAAAAACTAACATAACAAGAAAAAAAAAAAAAAAAAACAAGCTAAGCAGTTGTCGATATGATTGTAATCCAATTCGGTTACAATTTAAGCCTTCATACTTGATCAAATTTTTGTCATTCAGTATGTTAGAACCTTATACAACATTTGTCCTTAATATAATATTTACTTTGTAATTTAATTTTTTTATTAAAGTAGCAGGAGGGAGCATATTTTATGACTATAGCTTGGTTACAGTTCAATGGATAACTAATACTCTTCTGATCTTATTTATAAGACAAAAAGAAAAAATATTCATATGAATATATAATTTTATCCTTATTTAATATTATGTTAACTTTGTTCTAATAGGATATAATATATATTAAATAAGGATAAAGTTAAAAAGTTGTGAAATTTTAAATCAGAATTAATGAAGTCCAAAGTTCTTATTGATCTGTGTAAAAATTGTTGGAAGTGACTTATAAATAAAACCAGAGGAATAATTTTTTGAAAGGGTAGAGACTAATAAATTAAAGGACAAAACTCAAGTCTAGTTAATTAAGTCAAGTTGGTCCAGTTAACCAATTAGCTTCTGCCACGTATATTAATTGGACACATCATTATTTAACACCTATTAACCCCGTCAATGAGGATCGACCGATCATGCGGGAAGGTGGTGAAATGGCCTTGAAGTCGACCTTAGACTAAGGAAATGCAATCGATTGTTTCATATCTCTAAATGTCCAAAGTCGAATGGCTAACCTAGCCAAGAGAGGGATGGACGGTGAAATAGCATAAAGCGGAGTGAGAGATAGAGAGATGCCAACCAGGAAAAGAGGGTTTATGCACCGCCGTTTTGTATCTCAACGAACCATTGACCTGCCTTAATTTCCTTGACCTTTTTAGAAGGCTGTGGCGTTAGCAGCGGCTTCAATTAGGAAGAAAGCACATAGATCGGTGCTAGAGTTGATGCGCTTTAGGCTGCTCTCCACCATCACCGCATGCCTCGATGGCGCTAGAGTTGACTTCGAGGGGTTGGATAGGAAGTAGAAGCAATATCTATTCTACAACTCGATGCTTGCTTCTCCGATGGGAGAGGGTCTAACAGTCAGCATGAAGACAAGTGGCCTGATGAATGATGATTGACGAAGCCTCATCCCCTCCTGGTCCTGGCTAATATTCCCTTCCAATCCGAATGAAGGAGTTATGGTGTTAAATATAAATTAATTAATTAGTCCCTTCTACATCGACATGGTCTTTGTTGTTGAAGATGTTAATTTAGATAAGGTTGTTGTGTAAGAATTTGTTGTGTTGAATATGTGAGTGTATAGAGATTGAGTGGAAATTAATTGGGATTTGGGGATGAAAATGAGGGGGAAAGGTGGAGGAGGGCGGAGGGAACAGCATTGGCATACAAGGAGAGAAGCCATTAACGATGTTAAATGATGATGTGTTCAATTAATACACCTGGCAAAAACTAATTGGTTAACTGGACCAACTTGACCTAATTAACTGAACCTAAGTTTTATCCTAAATTAAATAGCTAAAACTTAAAACATTGAGTTGAAAACTTGAGAGATTAAGTTGTGATTAAGTTAATAGTTAAGTTAATGGTAAAGAATTAAATGAATAATTTGCCCCAAATAAATTCATCAGATTTAAGTTAAGCAACAATAAATATGAAAATAAGGGCATCCATCATAAAAATTTGTGAGAATTAATGTGGAGGATTAATTAGATGCCGATGAATTACATGGTAATTTATTATAATTCATTACGTACATGAACAAGCCCCTGTAGATTGTAGTGGTACTAAGACATTTTGTTGTACCATTTTGTCAAATGTCATCAATTTAAAAAATTCTTTGTCATTCCTCCTATTAATTAACGCATGACACAGATATGATGTCCCATTCATATCTCCTCTAATAAGAATCATAACAAAAAGCAAAAAAAAACAAAAAAACAGAAGAAAATTTAGAAGTAGTAGAAGAAATGCATATAATATTTTTGGTCCTTAATATAAGAGCTTATTGACTAATTTGAGTAGATTAAAAAAATTAGTTAAATTAGTTATTTGTAATAAATAGGTATTGTTTTCTCTACAATATCTCTATTAATCATATGTATTAGTTAGAACTATTATTTGATGAAATATTTAACATGTGCAACTATTACAAGGATTATCTTTAAAAAGTTGGATAAATATGAAAAACAAAATCGATTGGAGTCTTATATTTATGATCAAATTGAATGTCAAACTAGCTAGCTTTTATATTAAAGACTAGAAAACATATCTATTAGAATAAGACAAAATGATATAAAGAAAATAAAGGTTTTACATGGTACAATATGTTAAAGTGCAAACAGAATTGTTAAAAAACCTAAGGAAAAAAAGATAAAGACACAACTTCAATAGACATGTCAGAGAAATCTAGAAATCTTTAAGTAATGATAAAATTTTCTTGCCAAAGTTATAGTAGATAGCTTGAAAGGACCAGTAGGAACCCGAATATAACGAAAGGATTCTGAATACAATTGACCGTAAACAGTGACCTGGAATATATGTGTGTGCGTATGTATATCTATCTTGCATTTACAAATTTATGAAGAAGTGAGCCAGGTTCATTTCCAAAGTGCAACAATGGCTACAGAAGAAGAACGATTTGGCCATTTGGGAACAATGGGAGCTGGGAAGGGATGAGTTTCTTACAACACAGTGAACTAATGTTCAAATTCTCACCAATAGAGATTAGATCTAGCGGAAGAGGCTAGTCTCTCACAACGTGACGAACCAACGTTCGAATCCTTATTGAAAGAGTTGCTCGCATTTAGTGTCTAACAGTACCTCAAATAAAATTACCTTCAATAGGAAGATACCTATGCTTTAGCAAAAAAAAAAAAGTTCAAATTCTCACTAGGAAAAGTACCCACATTTAGTGGCCAATGGATATTTGTGTGTAACCAAAAAAAAAAAAAAGGATTTAGCAATTTGCGGTTAAATTATAAATTTTGTTACAATCAAAATATATATAATAAAATTCTTAAAAATCCATGTTATTTACAAATCATGAATACTATAATTTATTTTATTTTTACATTTCGAAAAGACTCGTATGTTAGAGCTCATATACATACTAGAGAATAATGATGCTATAAGAAAAGGAAAATGGAGCAGATCCGAGTTATTAGTTAAGGTGGAGGCTGTGGGACTAGTGTGTTGATCTTGGAGTTGTTACACCGACACCCACGGTTAGCTTAATTTCAGCGCTTGATTTTTATAGAAATTAATTTACCACGTCTATTTATCAACGATTAAAGAACCCAACTGGACTAGTAACTCGATTTGGATTAGAAAATCATTTTTATGGTTAAATCAAGGTGGACTGAAGTTGAACCGGTATTAAGAGATACATGGATTAGCTTGCGAGAAGTAATCTTACGGTGTTCAAAATAAATATGTAAGAAGTTTTGTCTCAACTTATATAAAAGTATTTTTTTTTTAAGTTAAAACCCAAAACTAGAATGGGAATTAGAATGGGTTTTGGAAAACGGGAAGGTTTTATTATTAGGACTTAGCATTAAAAGGCCTAATAGTGAATAAAATTTATTTAAGAATGTATAAAATGCATTTAATTAGAGTCCATATCAACACATTTTTTTTTTACCAGCATATCAACACATTAAACAGGCATATGAGAGCTTAATACATATTCAAGCCCCAAATATAATGCACATACTGTATGTTGTGGTTCATAAGATTCAGACTGACATCCCCCCGGGGCAAAAAAAAAAGAGCTTAGGACGTGAAACTGAGATGCATCATAAACATCCGAAAAGAGCCTTTCAAGACTTTTAAAATGTTTTAATTAGCTTAGGAAGATTTTATTTTATTGAGTTTAATCCCCCTATTTCATTTTTATTAACTAGTATTTTTATTTGCTCATTAAAATATTTTATTTATTTACATATTTATGACTTCTGCATATTCTAAGGATTAAGAGAAGAAACTTTAAGAATTATAAAAGCTCACTTTTTTCAAAAATATTTCCATGAATCTATCTTATATTTTATACATGCGCGCCCACACACACATATATGTGTATATTTATATATTTATTATAGAAGCAGATGAGCTGATGAGGTAAAAATAGTAAAGAGCATTAAGGAAATGAAAAAATTCAGATTCATTTGTTTATATAATTTAATTTAGAAAAAACTAATATAACAGTCCTTCTAGTTTTATTAGATATTGAATCAAGTCCTTGTAATTTTTTTTTTCTTTTTATTCAATCTTTATTATTTACTCAACTATTTTTGTTAGTCCTTCTGTTAGTATAAACTGTTAGTTTAAACGGATTAAGCACATAAAAAGGCAGTGTGATTCTACCACTTCTTCTCTCCCAGTTGCTTCTGCTCTTTTTCTAGTCAAAATTACGAGAAAGAACGCTTTCATAAAAGACTCTCTCCTATGTGAGAACAAAACATTCTTCCAAGACAAATTGCTCAACTTATTATTCCTCA